CAATTCAATAGTTCACCCTCGATCCTGACGCTTTTGTCAACACCATCGTTTGATTGACCAGATGCTGATTTGACAGAGTCCTCGGAAACGCGCAATTGAAACGTTTCTTTTGGATCGGAAGGAGACGGTAATCGAGTCACTGAGCTCGAATACTGAATGCGTGTTTCCGAGAGGCAACACACACACACACACACACACACCAATCTCTAGACTTTCGAGCGTACGAGCCAAACCTGCTCGTTTTCCTATACACATGAGAGTTCTTACTTTGAACGAAGCGAGGTCGGAGGAATGGAACGATCAGCTCCGAGTGAGACGGCACTACTGAGACAGATGTTGAAGAGGATAAAGGCGAGCTACGACATGAACCCAGTGGAACCGTTCGGGATAGAACACGCAGCTGAAGAAGTGAGGATGTTGCGTTCAGATTTTGAGAAGAGAGAGAGTTTTGCACAAGTGTGAGAGTCTGAGACATGCATGAATGCATAAGTGCATGGTTATATTATAGGCGCGGCACTACCCGGGTGCTCAGGCTGAAGTAGGGAGTTTTCTTGGAGGACTATACTATACTCAGAGCCTTTGGTTAAAGAAATCGACCCACAAATCAGTGGGTTGGAGTAGGGAGTCCACTATTCTCTGGGAGCCGGTGATTGGGGAGCCAGTTCATACGCTTTTCGGATGTGACCAACTATCCAGGGTACTCAGATTGTCCTTGAACTGCGCATGTGCAGATGAGTATCGCGATAGTTAACTCCGAAGGTTAACTTTGGCGAGCGATTCGGTTACGCCGAGGGTTGGTGCTGCTATGAACTTATTGGGCCAAGTATGGGTGGTTTGGAATCAGGGTTTTATCCAACCCCGTTAGACTGACTGGCAGTGATCAACCAACCCGGCGGAAGCGCCCGACAATCGTCTTTGTCCTCCGTCACGAGGAGGCAGTGTGTAGGAATTCCTCAGTAGAAGCTATCTGAGGCGTTTGGGGGCATTTCTAAGGGAGTTCAGTACGAATGACCATTTCGGTACCCGAGACATCCACTTCCCACCATTCTGAGGCATTTGGAGGCTTGTATACCCAATAATTAAGATTATTACTATAATTGCATAAAACTACTGGTTAATGACAATTGACTTGCTGAATCTCCTTTTCTTTCTGATCACATTCCAATATTTTCTGTCTACTTGCTTCTTGATTTGTTGTAATCTGCTTATCTGAAACTAATACAGTGGAACCCGGTGGATGAAAAGTACTTCAAAATGACCCGCAACCTTCGCACGGCGGATGTAGATCGCAAACGCAAACCAAACAAGGAGACTTTGGATCGGTTGAAAGTGAGTTCCTTTTTGAGGAATACACGTCCTGTCCGTCTGTCTGGCATAGATTCAGTGAATGAGTGAAAGCC